GTCCTACTAATACCCCCGGTTCTCATCCCTTCCTGCCTCCAAATCATGCCTGCAGTCATCAAACAAACACGCTGCAAAAGTCAGAAGGTGTAGGGAAACGTGTACCAGTAGAAAAGGGGAAGTAGGAAAAAAGAATAAAAGCTAAATTCCACCAGAAAATTCCACCTTTCTCAAAAATAACTGATATTTACAATTTGTTTAAAAGTGAAGTTCTGTGCCGCTAAAAATCCAGCTTAAAATACAAACGGCCGTGTACTACTTTAAAACATCTCCAGGAGCTCACATGCCGTTCCAAAGAATTTCACTGACAGAAGAAAATTTTAAAGTATATTTCACAGAAAAAAGTGTCAAAATGATTTCAGTACGGTGTGCGTAGCGTAAAAGACCATGAGTCGACGGAAAGTTAGCATATGAATATGCCGCAGCGTTTCCAGCTTGCTTTCCAATTAAAGGTTAAAAGAGAATGTAGAAGGAAATGATGGAAAGAAGAATGGATATTAAGATAGGTAAGGGGTCTAAAGAAATATTTGTTATAGGTAAGAAATGTTTCGGTCCATTAAGTCGTATACATTTCTTAATGTTATCATAATTGGACCTCGTCAGTACGACGATTGTGATAACACAGTAAATTAGTAAAATATATAAATTAATTAAGATAAAAACATATAATCCAGAAAAAGTAATAGTATGGGAAAAAAGGAAAATATAAAAGTAAGGAAAAGAAAAGTAAAAAGAAAAGGAAAAAGAAATCGGAGGTGGTTGCAGTGGACGATGACGTGTACGAACAAATAAATGCTGGTAAGTCGGGCACAGGAAAATGCAGGGAAGTAGACAAAATAGAGCAAAATAGAAACATGGAACATTTTGCAACAAGTATCCTGTGGAAGAAGGGAAGCACTTTTGCTTCTGCGGATTTGCAAAAAATCACAAAAAGTTCTCGTATTATTAAAACAAACTTCAACAGCTCTCTGCAACGACTCGGCTCGTTCCATCCGCTCTGTAAGTTCCTCGGCCTCCCGTTCTTTCCTCCGTGCTTTTTCTTGCGCATTACTCAGAGCTTTTTCGAGAATCTGAAAAAAAAGCCTCGACTAGCCCGGGTAATCCCGCAAAAACAAAGCAATCAATAGTGTTCAAAGCTGGTAGAAAAAAAAAAACAATACCGCGATATGATTCCTCTGGTCCTTTAATGTGGCCTCGAGTGCATCAATGTCCATTCTTTGGCGTTCTTTGCAAGCCAGTAATTTCTTATCTGTAGCATAAATGCAAATTTTAATTCATTGGCGATAATATGATCTGTGCTCAAGCAATTTCTTAGTTACATGCCTTTTCAATACATGACGGGTAGGAGGCTGTACCTACCCGCATGCATTGTCCGGTCTGTGTTTACAGCTAGGGGAATATCACTCCACTATGTCTAAGAGATAAAGGCAGTTTGCACCATAAAATAACACCTTATACATGGCCTGCGTACAATCCTGTTGGTCTATTATTTCTTAATTTTTCAGTAATTTATAGCATTTGGGATGAAAAGTGGGCAAAAATTGAAAATAATTTAGACTGAAGCCATGACGCTGAGGAGGAAAAAGCTTTCCACAGAACTACATTGACAATTTGAAAAACCTCTGTGTTTCTGAATAAAGAACGAACACTCAACGGCCTCAACAAAATTCAAATCATAGTGAGTTATTAGTGAAACCAGCTAAAACTTAAGACGAAATGGAAATCTACGCGAAACGAAAAAGCTTCTTTCATAAATGTTCTGTACATATTCTAATTCACAAACGAAAATATTATGGAAAATGCCGAGCGAGCTCGATGATGGCAATCCGTAGGAGTGATTTTTAGAGAGCTAACAGGTGGTGGGCGCTAATCGGCGGTATGCTGCCCAGGATCGAAGGGCTTGATTCCGGCGTGTTGGAGCACCTCAGTAGCACTCGTGAGAAAGAAACTAACCACTTTGGCGACTCCAGCACGATGGGTGCGTAAGTAATGAACAGCGCGGTACAAACTAGAGAAAGGTACTCAAGAGAAGAAAGATTCCTTACGCACGTACAGCTGGCAGTACTGGTACAGTCGTGCAGCTATCCACAGGACAATCTGGGAAATTTCATTGGCAACCAGTGAACCGCTCAGGAAAAAATAATTGGCCAACGCACGGGCTGCCCGTGCGAAGATGCGTTTTTTGCATAGTTCTCCGCAGTTTTTGTCCCTACCGGCATCGGTTTTTCGGCAAATGCTTCTAGCTGAACAAATTAAGACTGGCCGCCAGAACTGGCCGGAAACAGCCCCTTAAAATTTCAGCTTTCTAGCTTTCTTGGCTCCTGAGTTATCACCTATTTGGACGAGGAACATCCCCCTAAGATTTCAGCATTCTAGCTTCTCAGATCCCCGAATTAGGAACTTACCCTCAGAAAAACTTTGCCGGGCCTGTACGCGGTACCACGCAGGTGAGGGCGCCAATTCTAGGGATTGGAGCCGGCAAGTGCATGTAGATTAAGTTCCCGGAATTTCAGCCCTGCAGCTTTCATAGGTGTTGAGATGAAAGTGCGTGATAGACGCACACACAGACTCACGGGCACACAGACAATCCCTCGTCAATATGCGTTTTTGCATTGCATAGCTGCAAAAAACGCATAAAAAAGAAAAAACGAACTTTCCGAGACAACATCGTTGAGGATCAAATTGAGTCTGGTGATCTGTTGCGACTGATCATCTGCATGAATCCTCTTCATTAACTGATCAATTTTTGTTCGTAAAATTTCGTTGTCAGCTGAGAACCTTAAAACAATTGAATACCATTCATTTTTACAAAAATTCTGTATGGGCGATTCCTTAGGCACGTAAAACAGCTAGCAGTAACGATCATTTCTTACAGGACTACAATCAATTTTTCTCATTTTCTGGGTAAATTTTAGCTTCATTTAAGAAAATAATAACGCCCTTACCATTAGCCACGTACCTCACTGTGGTCTAAAAGTGGCGACGTTTGGGACAAGGTGGTAATGCACAACACACATCGCTGGCCTCTTGGAACGGTTAAAGCTCTGCCAATCGTTTCTGTTGGGTCAGAGGG